ATAAGATCGTGAGCGGTTTGGCGGGGGACCTTGACCCCTACCTCCCTCTTGGCGGTTTCCTCTGCCGCAACCCCCTGAGCGCCCTGTCCTCGGCCCCCTTGGCCCTGGCCTCCTCCTCTTCCTTGCAGCCTCTTTCCAGCCGCGACACCAGCGTAGGTCCTCCCCTGACCCCCACTACTGTCCTCCTCCTCCAGGCCCCACTCAATCTGACTGTATGGGACCTCATCCATACCACCTTCATCTAAAGTGAGGATCAGATGATCCTTGGCCCTAACCTAACCAGAGATGGTACGACCTTTCCACTTTTTCCCCTTGTCCAAGTCCTTATGCCAGAAAGTGGATACTGGCATAGACTGTGTCTCAAACATGAACACCTCTCTACTCAACCTATCATACGTCATGGTGGGTTGTCGGCTCTTTTCGAAGAAGTGGCCCCGTAGGGGCTCTGGCATGGCACGATAGAAGAGGTTGACCAACTAGGTCTCAGTGACCCCGTGGTCTGGGACAGCTACAAGCTCGTCCATTACGCCCTTGAGTGCCCTCGCACTCCTCCACTAGCGTGAGTGGATAGTTTGCAGCTTATTTGAGGCTCTTACGCGTTGACTGACATTTGCAAACCGTTCCTTCAATAATTTAAGGAATTCAGGGAGAGGAGTAATTTTGGAGTAGGCTACCATTTCACACTGTGCAGTGCGAGCGAGTGATCTAGCGAAGCTGGCCGCTTCGTCTTCGAGAGCTTGGAAGGCAATGAGGACTTGTTCCTCAGGCCTGATATGTTGTAAATACACGTACGTATCAATACTCGCGTCCCAGTTATCGAAATTTTCTTCCTTCTTCCCACTGTAGGGTTCAGGAAATTTGATCTTCACGGGCTCTCTATGGGGGCGTGGCTCTTCTCCTTAGGAGCGGCCAGCTTTGCGCCTTCAATGGCGCCTGTGCAGAATTTTTTGGTGCCCTCTATCCTCGCCTTCATTTCTGCACCTATGTGTAGCATCATCTCGCGTGCAAAATCTCTAAGCCCCAGGCGGATGGAATGTAAGGCGATGTCTTGGGCTCTAGCAAACTGATGTTGCTCGTTCCAGGCTCTAGCTAGGAGTTCTATGTTTCTTGAAATAACATCTAATTTTCCTTGTATGTCTGCTTGCGCCTGAATCTCCTCCCTCTGCACCTTTATCACCTTCAACTCCCTCGCCATTTTGCTCGCCTCATCCATTCTCCTCTTCTTCTCCCTAGTGAGACGCAACTTCCACTACAACTTCTTCTCCTCCTCTATAGTTTGGCGTCTCAAGGGGTCTTTTTCCGCCTCCCACTCCTTGATAACTGCTTCCTTCTCCTCCGGGGGAACATACAACATGGCCTCTTCCTCTTCTCCCAGAGACAAATTTGCTTCCCACTCAGAAATCTTTTTCTCCATCCATGAATCCTCCTTTGTACCACTAGATTCTCCTCTATGCCCTGCACTTCTTCTGAACAAGGGCTCTTCCTTCTCCTCCTCCTCTTCTATCTCTTCCTCTTCTACGACTTTCATCTTGTCTTCCTCCTCCTTCTTCAAGCTCTCCATCTCTTCCTCCAACTTCTTCCTCTTCGCCGCCTGCTCCTCTTGTAGAGCCAACTTTTTGGCCTGTTTAATTAACTCCTTCTTGGTCTCTTTCTCTTTTCTCTCTTGCAATATGGCGGCGGCTTGCTCTTCCTGAGCTTTTGTGTAAGGGGTGGTACTCTTCCCACTACGTAAGTCAACCATGGTGAAAGGTGTACAACCCGAAGTCAGTTACACTCCTCACCACTTAGACTCACACCCCTGACTGACTTGATTAAGACTGACTCAATCTAAGGACCACATAATCTTTGTAAGATCATGTCAACTATGGTCTCTAGCCTGGACCTAAACTAAGGCTGTCACCAGAGGACTTATTGCTGATCAGGAGTCGTTTAAGGAGATCCCCCGTAACTCCTCAGGAATTATTTAACGTCGCAAACAGGACGATGCGATCAGCAAGTCCTCTCAAGACGTAGACAGCTTGTTGTGCAGCCCACAACTCGGATTTTGGGCCTACTGTGCCACACCAAGCAGCCCGCCGGTCTGTACCGGTCCTTGGGAGGGTTTGTGTCCTCCGGGTCAGTCGAGTCGTCAGACACAACCTTTAGCCCTACTCATCCCTTGTGGGTTTGGTCAACAAAGCTCTATGACCACATACACAGAGTTCCTATCACCTGGACAAAAGAGACTCAATGTAGAAAGAAGAGACAGACAGACTCAGCAAGTACCATGGGGTGAGTGCACATCCATAGGGCGAGGGGATAGGCTGAAGGCTTGGCGAGAATATACCAACTCCAGCTGGGTCAATTTCGTGGTCAACAGCCCCGGTCAACGCTCGTCAACGCTTGGTCAACTCGTCGGTCAACGCCTTGGTCAACGCCAGGCAACTCGTCGGTCAACTCTCCGGTCAACTCTCCTGTCAAAGTCTTGGTCAATGCTGGTCAACCCTTCGATCAACGCCTCGGTCAACCCTTGACTCGGCTATGGTTGTCAGCACTTTTCTTCCTCACCAACCTCCCTTATCCTCCTTCTCCCTCCTTCCTTCTTTCTCCTTCTTTCTCGCTTCACCCCGGCTATGGCTTCCTTCACTTTCATGGTCCCTCCTTCCATCTCCCTAGCTATGTCTTCTTCTCCTTCGTCTCTCCTCCCTTCTCCTTTGCTTCACCTTTCTCTCTCCCGGTAACCATGTGTCCGAGCTCAGCGGCTATGGCCGCCTTCTCTCCTGGTCCGCACAACAATCTTGTATCGCTTCTCTCTCTCTCTCTCTCTCTCTCTCTCTCTCTCTCTCTCTCTCTCTCTCTCTCTCTCTCTCTNTCTCTCTCTCTCTCTCTCTCTCTCTCTCTCTCTCTCTCTCTCTCTCTCTCTCTCTCTCTCTCTCTCTCTCTCTCTCTCTCTCTTCTTCGCCGTTGTCTTCTCTGCAGGTACGCGGCACCGGACTCCGCAACACAGCTATGGCGGATGTTTCCTCCTTCGGTGCACCTTGGCTATGGGGCTCACTGGCGCACGTCTCCTTCCTGCCGGCAACAACGATGGCGTGTGGGGTAACGGGAACCTGCTCTGATACCAATGCAATCAGACTCGCTTTCACTTCCACTTCACATACATGCCAACAGATGGTGATTCACTCTGGCGCACAGCGCCTACTCAAAGCTCAGAGGTATGACAATCGAGAACACAGTTCAGATGTAAACTCGCTTCAACAAGCTATGGCGCATTAGCGCCTTCACAGAACAACTCTCGTCACTGTGTTCGACACCACTGTTCGCCTGTACTCAACTCTGGATCACCCTGAAGAATCCCACACACGTTCACTTTGGTACTTACACATACACCCTCACTAATGTCTAACACTACGGCGGCTATGGCCACGCAACAGCTACTAGCTATGGCTACACTTGCTTCTCTCAGCCCACTTGGACTTCGGGCAACCTGCAGACCACCTTCGCACAAGACGCTGATGCAGCGCTTCCGCATGGCTTACGCAGCGAATCCATCAATGGCTGGGCGCTCCCTCTTGATTTATACTTCTGTAACTCGTTGGTCTGCCCCCTTTCCACCGGCCCATGGTGCCCACAGTCCCTCATGGTACTTGCTTGACTGGACTGCGACTGACTGGGACCGGTACCGCTGACTGCACGGGGTTGCACTGCCGACTCGATGCGGTCGCACTGCCGACTCAGTGCAGTTGGGCTTACCACTTGCCCACTCGCCTCTGACTAAACGTGAGACACTTTCAAAAGGCCACTTCCGGACCTTCCGGAAGTCTGTGGACTTGGCCTTTCAAGTACTGTAGCAGCTACGACCTTGACCTTTCAGGACTGTAGCAGCTACGACCTTGACCTCTCAGAACATCTACAGCTACGACCGCTACAGAGCTGTGACCCCTACTCGACAGACCTACAGATCGAACCCCTACAACTACACAGACCTACGACAGACAACAAAAAACTATCAAAGCATAGGTCGCGGGTTCAAACACTCGGGGTTCAACTCGATACTGTACAGGGGCACGGTAAGGTCTGGGGATTGAACTCTAGGGCCCACATCTGTGACTGCAGAAAGGTGAAAACCGTTTCACATCCTTCCTCAGGGAAGTAATCGATGCCGTCCACTCGGGCCTTCCAGCCATAATGGGGAGGAGCGTGCGTGAGCCGCTTATGTATTCCAAATTGACTTGTCGGGGCAATAGGAACCGGACCGTTGCTCCCCAGAATGGTAGGAGCCAGAATCAAGAGGTTCTGTTTTGAAAAAAAAGAAAAAAAAAAAAAAAAAGAAGAAGACTGCTCCTTTGCATTCGTGGGGAGCTGGCCCAGGGAACCCTGGCTGCATTGATTACTTCCTGTGTCTTTTTTTTTTTACTTCATGAAATTCTTTTTAAAATTCTAGCCTGCATATAGATCGTAAGCTGGGCTTCTGATCCCTGCGACAGATTGAACTCGAGTTCATTCAGAGTTTCATTCACATTGAAACTTGAAATCTTTCAGGACCCGGTTGGGGGAGCAAGAGGAGGGGGGTGGTCAATGGTCATCAGAGGGATGCACTTGTTCTGTTTTTCAAATTTTATTGAGATGCTGGACCTGGTTTCCAGCAGGTGCATCTGCCTACCAATAGACTGAAACTTTGGTCTTGTGCAAAACAAAAAGGGAGGCGCTTGCTCATGTCATCTCTCTGCTCTTAATATATTCCAACGGCTCAGATGATTCGGTTTGAAATTCTGTCAAACTGACTTAAATGGTTGAACCCTACACTCTTATTTGGGTTAAAAAACTCCTGTTTCTTCAGCAGCCAGGGATAAGTGCTAACTCCTTGGGTTTAACGCCTGCTTCGTCTTTCTTTTCGACCCATAATCTTTCTTTTGGCCTTACACGTCTTCAACTGTGTTTCCCTCTATTATATAAGCGCCGACCTTGTGGATGAAATGACTGAAGGCTCAAAGCATATGGTTCGAACTTGTCTATGGCAGGCAGGGACAAGCATCAACCTTGTGGACTTCACTGTTAATCTGGATGGACTATACAGCCAGCTCCTCACTTTAGGTAAGCGGAAGCACTGAGGAAGTCCATTGGCTGCCTTGCATGCTCTCTCTTCGTATCTGAACAGGAACTTAAAGCACCAGTCCACCACGTATCGGCCCGCGGGTGTCAGCATGAAACCCCCACCACTTTGGAAGTTTGGAGGCTGCCAATTATTTTTTTTCAATGGCGGGCCTGACCGCGCGGCACCTCCGAGTTTTGCTTGTGGCAACAAGAACTTTCTGCAAGGCTGGGGCCGTGTACTAACGGTTTAACAGCCCACATTTTTTCTTAGATTTTTTTTTTTGTTTTTTTTTTTTGTAACATGATCTTATGACCTGGATTGTTCTATCCTTCGAGGGACATCCGTTAAAACTGGAATGATTCCGGATCGTCCACATCTGGGAATCACCAGACCCCCTGGTTCTTTTTACAGTGGCATCACCGGCAATACATAAATGTGAAGTAGGCTTAAGTAAGCCCATGCCAAAAAATACTTGCCTCCACTACACACAGGGGAGCCACTCACAGCATTGATTACCCTCAAGGGCCTCAACTACCTTCTTCCCCCAATACGACGCAAAAAAAAAAAAAAAAGGTATGGTCATTATAGCTGTATTTGGGGTATCTTTCAGTCTAAGACTCTAAATACAGTTACAATGACCGTATGTTGTATTCGGCGGAAGAAGGTGGAAAGGATCGACTGCCAGGTACATGCCAGTCAACGAGAAATTTTAGAGAGGAAAATGACTCAGACTCGGGGAAGGGTCGTGGGCCGCTGCATGCCGATGCCCAATCGAAGTTCTGTTGAAGGTTGTTGGATCCTGATTATCCACGGCCATATGTGCGCGCCGCGCATAGAGAGGGGTATTGTACCAAACTGTTCATTGTGCGGCCGGCAAGGGAGGAGGCAGCGGTTGGTTGAGACAGCGGATGTCTTCCATGATTCTATTTTTGTCTATTTTTGTTTCGACTGGAGTACCTCTCCCAGTCGAGAGAAGCTCACAGTGCTGCAATACCTCGAGGGGCTCCCATGTAAACAGAAAAACACGAAAGCACAAAAAGAAAAGAAAAAAATCAGCGGTTTTTACTATTTAGCCCGCAAATTGCAGACGGCTCTCTCCTGTGGCAACAAAAACCATTTCGGGGTTTTAAAGCCCACAGAAAGAAGTAAAAAAAACACTGCAGAGAAGGGGGGGGGGGGGGATAGAAGAACACATGGAAGACAAGTACAGGCCGCAAATTGCAGACGTCGCAGCAAATTGCAGCAAGCAAGTGCTGGAGTGTTTCTTTCTGTCCAGTGCCTCTCCCAGCTATTGGGCCTCGCTCCACTACTCTCCACATACACAAAAGACAGAAAATATGCTGGTGGATCTTTCCATATTCTACCAGAAGATTCATTCTCATTTTGCACATCTCTGCAGAGTAGTGGAGCGAGGGCCATTCTCTTCCTACGTGTCTGCACACAATTGCCATTTTTGGCGCTTTGGACTACCTGATCTCTTTGCCCACGTGGCACCATCCAAAAAAGGGGAAAAAAAATGTGCCGTACAAGTTTGTTGTTCTATTTTGGCATGCAGCACAAGTCCGCCGCAGAAAAAGGGGCTTGAACTTTGAAGGCACTGGGGTTTTAAAGACACAGACCTTGCCTGTGATTGCTCAGCAATGTCACCTATCTCTGGCCTGAGTTCGGCTTTAAAGCACCAGTACACCACATATAGGCCCGCAGGTGTCCGCACGAAGCCCGCACCACTTCGGAGGCCTCCGATTTTTGTTTTTTTTTCAACAGTGGGCCTGGCCGCACGGCGCTTCCGAGTTTTGCTTGTGGCGACAAAAAACTTTCTGCAAGGCTGGGCCCGTGTACTAGCGGTTTAAACCTGAGGGCGCTGAAGTTTGATGACGATAAGTCGGATAAGGTGAATAAGCATGTCCTCATATTACGGAAGGATTCGCTCTGGATGTATTTTCTGCACTCCAGCCAGATTTTCCATTGGAACTTGGAATATCCTTCTGTGAGTATGCCCTAACTTGCGTCCTCTTGTTTTGCACTTGATTGCTGGGAAACATCTGCAGTTGTGGAGAAGGAGCGTCCAGATCTTGAGGAGAGGAAAACTCAATTGCTACAGCAACATCTGGCTTATGATCGACAGCTGAAGGAGACTGAAGACCGGGTTCTTATGCTTCTCTCAAACACAACAGTAAGCAGTTTGGCGATGCATTGTTTGTTATGTTCATGACTCGTTATGAACGCCTGTCTCCGTTCGAGGAGCATGGTTCCATGCGCAGAGATTAAGTGGAATCGTGCCCCAGGTCTCTTCTATGGGTGTACTCAACTATGCGTGTGTGCATGGATGCATGCTTGTTAATCGTCACGCAATTCTGCAAAAAAACGCATGACTGTGACGGACTGTTTCATCCGACTATCACAACTCCTCAGGAGGTTGGACGCCAGAAGTCTGCCAAGGCTGCATTTGACTGAAAGATAAGGACTCACTGTGTCGCCCGGAGTTAGATATGCCACTGAGAAAACTGGTTGATTTTACTCAGACCAACTCTGCGATCCTAGCGGACTGCAGATCCAATCCCCTGACTAGGGCGGTAAGTCTGAGAAACTAGTATGTCAAAGCCATAAAACCCATTCTACAGACCCACTCAG